ACCCCTTCTCTGCACTCACAGGTAGCTGGGAGGGGACCAGGAAGAGCCGATGCCTCTGTTTAGGAAGCTGCCTCTGAGTCTCCTGACTTCGGCTGCCAGGAGGGGCTGGACCCCTACTCACTGCAGTGAACTCCTGCTCCCTGTGGGACATCACACCCTCTTGGCGCAAAGCTGAGCCTGGGTCTGGGGCACCTGGGACAGCTGGGGAGAGGGGCCAGAGGGAGAGACCAAGCATCTATGAGAAGACTGTCAGGGCCTCCGGCCAAAGCCAGGAATAGCCCATGACTGCCTCTCTGGGTAGCCCCTGGACAGCCAGGGAGGGTGGGCAGGGTGCAGTGGGTCTGCCAGCCACAGCGCTAAGGTGCTGATGGAGTATTTGCCCACCACAGAACTTGACCTTGGGGCTTGGGCACAGGGAGGCAGGAGGACGGTCAGGGTCTAAAGTGGCAACTATGTGCTTCAGAGCACAGGGACGCAGCCCGTGGGGCACCTGCTGCCCTGTCACATTCTTTGCATTGTCCCCGTCCACTCTCACCGGTCGGCCCTTCTTGCTTCCAGAGATAATGCAGAAAGGAAGCCTGCATCCATGACAAGATCCCGGGGTCCCAATTTAAAGGCAGAGCAAGTGGGATGCGTGATGCCATGTGCTGGTTTTCAAAGGAGGGATGCTGGTTAGCTTCTCCCTTAGCAATTGCTCAGTTGGACAAAGAACAGGAAAAACACTGAGACAAAACACAGGCCCTGTCCTCCTCACAGCACCTTGAAGGAAGCCTGGACTGCTCTCCACACTGCAGCCCCTGGGTACTGAGGAGCCATAAATCACGCAGTGGTGGCACAGGGGATGCTGGGAGGCCAAGCTGTGTGTGTGCACGCGCGCACATGGCAGGGAGAGTGGGGAAGAGGAACAGTTTCAGAAGAGAGAAAAGGGGGAAGGAGGATGCATGGACTTCTGTTTTTGAAGCATTTTTCTTTTCTGTTCCCCCACTCTCCCCTCTCCCAGACAGGCCACATAAGCCTGGAAACATCACCCCGTCTCGGGGGTTCTTCGCCAGGTCCAGGGAGGGGGTGCAGGCAGGCAGGGGCTCCAGGCGTGAGACAGCACCGAGGGCACCGGTCTAGCTACTGACTCTGCAGCCACAGCGCTTCACCCCTCATCCGACAGCTCCCTGGTTAGGAGCAGCTCTTGGGTGAGAAAGGGAAGGAATGCAGTGGGGCTTGGGGGGCAGAGTGGCTCAAGGAGACACAGGGCCCCTTCTCACTGAAGCCTGAAGGGTGGAATCTTGTGGAGGGATAGAAACGTGGACCTTGCCACTCTCCCTCCTCTAATCCCTCAAAGCAGGTCCAAAAAGCAGAAAGGCACCAGGAGCAGTTATCAAAGGAGAGCAAGACAGTCCCCTTTTGAGGAGGAAGCCTCGGGCCACCCGCCACTTAACCCCGGAAGTGCTGCCAGCCAGAGACTGACGTTAAGTCAAAATCTGCTTAGGATCTAAGGAAAAAATTCCTGCTGGGCCCCTAACCCTCCCCTTGGCATTGCCAAGGTCAAATCTATTATTCCCTCTGCAAGTTTTCTTCCCCACCTCCCCCTATACTTTAGTCAGGCTGATTGTGTGTTTAAAATCGAGTTGTTCATTCTGGAGACAGGTCAGGTTTTTATATATGAGGGCAAAGTAACCAGGAGGCTTATTTAGGCCTAGAGAAGAGGTGGGAATGGTATGAGAGGCAGAATAGGAAGTATTTCTTGAGAGCTGAGACCAAGTTGACTTAAGAGGCAAAAAAGATGGAGTCACCAGTTGCTAAATGGAGAAGGACCTAGAAGAGCTGCCATGCCAGGAAGAACATCTGATGAGGCCCATCATCCGCTGGTTTCATGGGCCCCACGTCACCCAGTTGGATGGTGGAGACCTAGCTGGACTTGATGGCCTTATGGACAGAGCGACCTGAACAGCATGTTTGTCCTTATCAGTGGAAGATGTGGAGTAGGGAAAAGAGCCAGGAATTCTAAGCACAAGAAAGTCTTGGTCTCTGGCTTTTTCTTCCAATGCTGCCCTGCCCAGGCAAAGGGAGGTGGAGTTAAGAATGAGGAAACAAGCCTGGGAAAAGGCCAAGGTAACTGGGACAAAGATTGAGTTGATGATCTTGGACCTATGAAGTTGAAAAAGGGCAGAAAGTATTTGCAGGAAGTTTTTTAAGTAATAATAATACAGTAGCTAATAGTCACTTAGCACATATTATTGATTTAAAAAGACTTCCATAAACCTTAACTTGTTTTATCTTCACAACAATCTTGGGAAAGTACTACAGTCCCATTTTATAAAGCAGGAAGTGGAGCCCGTCATCTTCCAGAGCTGTAGCATTAGAGGTGGAATCAGGAATTAAATCTGGTCTTGCAATATTTTCCTCCTCACCCTAGACCAGGGATGCCGAACCTATGGCATGTGTGCTGCAGCAGGCTGTTTGATGTCATTGAAAGCTCTAAAAGGTTCGCCATCACTGTCCTACACCTCTAAATGTAGACAAAAATGCCAGCACACCCCGCCACCACCCCACACCTTGTACATATACCTACAAGCAGATTACCACCATCGAATACAAAGCACAGAGCTGAATCTTCTGGACCTTAATATTCTCATGAGTGGACAGCGGGCATAGAGCATGTTGATACAATGGGACCAAAGGTAACTTCCACTTCATAAGGCCTTGTTGGGAAAGCTGGTCCCTGACGAGACTGCTAAGGTCACCCTGAAGATGGTATTGCAGGAAAACATGTCACAGAGTTAGAACTGGGGAAGTCTAACACACGCCCTTCTTCCCTGCTACTGGCCCTGCAGAAATGGGTGCATCTGGCCTCTCTACTTTGGACTTTGTACAGCTTTGGCTTCCGGCAGAGGTCATTCCGTAACGTTTTGAAAAGATCCCAGACTTACCTGCATGTTACTTGTTAGCCAGCTGTTCTAAAGCATTAAAGTCTAGGCTTGCTACTCTATAACTAGTGGAGTCCCCCTCCCTAGGGGATCTGGACCCTATAGTAGATAAGGTGGAGACTCCTAACCTGGCCCAGTCAAAGTTAGCCAAGGCTCTTCCATAATCAACCTAGGACTAATCATGAACTTTCTCACGCTGTGTCTTCTTGCACTTGCCTCTCTACTCCATCTCCACCCATTTCCCAGGCTGCTCATTAGACCAGGCCACCCTGGCCTGGTCAGCTGGAAAAACCCTCAGCTCTTCTGCTGTCCCGGGCACAGGGATGCTTCAGTTCCCAGCTAGACTGCTATCTCCTCACAATCTATTCCGATTTTCCCTCCTTTGCTCTCTCACTGCTATTTAATTTATGTGCCTTTCCCACAGTTCTTCTCTAATTCTACTTATGCTAATTAATTGTAAGAATAGTTCATTTTTTCCTAATACATTATCAACCCCTTAGAGACAGATGCTATATTGAACTCATCTGTGGTTCCCCCTCTCCTTTCATATCTTAGCTTTAAACTTAGTAGGAGTACAATACATAATTGCTAAAATGAAATTTACCTTGGCTTCCTAAAAAAATAGGCTGTGATCCAAAAATCCCCGCACAGGACAGCCTCTCTCCTCATTCTGTCCTTTGGCAAATCTTGGGGAGCTGGGCACCTCCCTTCTTCTATCTGTGTCACTGTGCAGCCAGATCTACCCAGCACAGGTTTAAAAAAAAAAAAAAACCAGAAGGTAAAACCAGACCAACCAGCCAAGGGTTTCCATTTAGTTTGGTTATTTAAAAAGGTTAAAGTTATATAAGCAAAAGCAAGGAGTCACTGCTATTACCTGTCCCCCTAAAAAAAAATCAAGGAAGGGTTTTGTGGGGTCAAGGAAGGTGAGAAGGAGATGAAAGAAGAAGGAGTTTCTTGGAAATATCAGGGTGACACCATGACCTGAGTGGATTCCCCACTCTGACAACAGATACTTCCCCTTTCGGACCAGAAAGCCCAGATACTCCCGGGATGGAAGGTCAGTATGGTTCAGAGTGGCCTAAGGTCGGGCGTGGGTCTCAAAGTCAGCTGAGGGCCACAGTGGCTGAGCGTGGAGGAAGAGGAGACAGAGGAGGATCACCATGCACCTCAAGCAGGTCCGTATGGGGTGAGGGAAGAACCACTCCAAAGAGAGTTTATGGGAAAGGCTGTGCTGGTCCTACAAGGACAGGTGCAATCAGCGATGGGGTATCGCGTCCAGTTAGGGCTGGACCGGGTGAAGGAAGCTCCCTTGGACACCATACACTGCCATAGAACTTAAGTTTTCTATACTGGCCAAGGACTTGGGGCCAGCATAGAGTTACCCTGCATTAAGTTCAGGGGAGACAACAGTCACAAGGCTTAGAAAGCAGGGGGAAAAGAAAAGAAAAGAAAATCCCAAGAATCAGATCTCAGCCAGCAGGGGGAGGAGAGGCTATTTCTGCTAGAGATGTAAGATATTTTCACAGAGACAGAAAGAGGCAGAGGGACAGGGACAGACCACCACACACCAGCCAGCTACACATCTAATTCCAGTTTACGGACAGGTTCCCTCCTGAGGCAGCGCAGGGAGGGTGCTATCTGTTCTCAGTGGCCCTCAGAATTGCTCTGTTCCTCTGGGACACGGAGAGGATGATGATCATGATCCCCCCCGCCCCGGCCCCAGGCAGGAGCCCGGGACACACAGGACCTCACATGGACACGGACGCCGCCGCCCAGCCCCTCAGACAATCCTTCGCCCAGACTTTCTCACGCTTCAGACTGTAGCAGCAGGCAGGGACCCCTGGCACCACCTCCCTAGCGCCTTCCTCCCTCTCAGAAGGGAGGAAGTGAGGGATGCTCAGGGCAAGGGTGCTGAAGCCTGTGCTCCCCTGGGGAGGAGGGGCAGGCTGCCTGGGCCAGCCCCCCCCCCCCCCCCCCACGCAGGCAAGGGCTCACTGACAGCAGAGGGACACCTTGTGGGGAAGGCTGTGGACCTGGTGACCTGAGCATGCTCCTCTAACCCCCGTGGCCCTGTGGTACCTGCCAGTGCCTTGATCCGGGACCTCTCAAAGAGCCTGGCCGAGCTGTTGTCATTATCCAGCTCGTCGTCCGGGGCATCCCACCGGGCATTGATCCGGCTGTACGGTGGCTGGCTGCTCACGTTTTCAAACTCCGTGGCCGACGTCATGTCAGCAGGCTCTGTTCAGCGGCTACTATGCTTGCCTCAGTCTTCATGGAAGAAGGGTCCCTGGGGACAGCAACACAGTCAGAGGGTTAGCTCTCCACCCCCTGCACTTTTTCCTAGGGGAAACTTATTAGGGCCATCCAGCAGGACCGGATCCTGGCCGGAGGAGCGAGCCAAGTTGCTTGCTGGGTCATGCTTCCGACCCAGGGTCTCTGGGTCTGTTATAAAATCTTGCAGCAGCAGCAACAGTAACAGCGGCGGTGGTGGCAGGAATGGAGACAGAGCTGCAAGCAGCAAGGGTCAGGACGGCCAGCAGGTGGAGCCGTCAGTCGCAGTGAGCCCACTTCCTCCAAACCCTCTGCCACCACCCCCGGCAGTGCGAGAGGCAGCTCTCAGAGCCCAGGAAGGAGCAAGAGCCCAAGGCTGGTGGGGAACAAACTGGGAAGAGCAGCCCCGACATTGTGGACTGGGGCCAGGTGCCAGACTGGGAGGGAGACCTGGCAGGCAAGGGGAGAGGAAAACCTGGAAGTCACCTGAGTCCAAGTCAAAGGGTGGGGGATCAACCAGTCACTGGCGCCACAAGCCCTGGCCCTGCAGCTGCCTGCGCTAGGGGGAGTTTGCCTCACTAAGGCCACCCAAGAGCCCAGAGTTCTTCCACAGCAGCCAACATTCAGAAACTGAGCTGTTCTTTTTGGTCTCTTTGAGTGGACTCTGGTGCCAGGACAAGGTCTCCTGTTGAATCCCAGCCCTGAGCAAGCAGCCCAGGGAAGACTGTGTCCCTCAGGGTGATCAGCCTGAAATGCTGGGTGTGGGGTGAAGGACTCCCACAGACAGTGGAGCTGCATATCAGGTGTTTATGTAATGAGCATAGGCATTCTTAGTTACCTTCTCATTGCTGGGACACAATACTCAACACCCACAACTCTAAGGAGGAAAGGTTTAATTTGGCTCAGTTTGTAGAGATTGGCTGGCTCCAAGGCAGGGCAGCTGGCAGAGGGGTATTGCAGTGGAGAATTGCTCACGGCATGGCAGGCAGGAAGCAGAGAGCTATCAAGGGAGGAGGAAGGGAGAAACACCCTTCCAGGCCATGCCCCAGTGACCCACCTCCTCCAACCAGGCTTTACCTCCCCACACCACATTTTGCTATAAACTCGTCAGTGGACTAATCCACAGATGAGTATCACATCCCCATGATCCAGTCACCTTCCACTTAAGAGCACATGAGGCTTTGGGGGGACATTTAGACATAAACCATAACATTCTGTCCTGCCCTCCCCCCAATTCCTATATGCAAAATGCACTTAGACCATCTCTAAGAGTTGCCAAAGTCCTAACAGTTTCAGCAATGGCAAAAACTCCAAGTCCCAAGTCTCCACTGAGATTTAAGACAAACTCTTAGCTGTGAGCTCCTGTCACAATGAAAAAGTTGGGCCAGGGATTTAGCTCAGTGGTTCCAGCACCTGCCTCGAAAGCGCAAGGTCCCGAGTTGGATCCTCAGTACCAAAAAAAAAGAAAGAAAGAAAAGAAAAAGTTAAACATTTCCAACATACAGTGGCACAAGATAAACATTCTCATTCCAAAAGGCAGACATAGGGCAATAGAAAGGCATGGGACAAAACCAAGACTGAAACCCAGCAGGGCAAACATTAAATCTCGTAATTCCATGTCCAGCACACGGGATAATCTGTGGCAAGATGTGAACTCCAAAGGGGTTGGGTGGCCCTGCCCCTATGACACTGCTGTTAGTTACAGCCTTCATGGCCTCTCTCTTAGGCCAACTTTGCTCACTCCTTGTAGTTTTCCTTAGACAATCCACGTTCCTTGCTTCTCCAACATCCTGGGGTCTCTACTGCACTTTCAGCTTCATACCCACAGCTTCACACACTTCCGTCTCAGGGGCACATTGCCTGGCCTCCCAGACCTTCTTCTGAAATCTAGGTGGAAGCCTCCCTGACCCCACAACTCTTGAATTCCGCATGTGAGTAGAACTAGCACCATGTAGAAGTCTGCTGCCAGCTGGAGCAGTTTTTTGGTGTGTTACCAGGGATCAAACTCAGGACTTTGTGCTTGTGAGGCAGGTGTGGCTAAATCCCAGGGCCCTGGAGCAGTAGTTGAACCCTTTTGCATCTAGCTGGTATCTGCAGAGGCTCTAAGTGCCTGAGTGGCTGAGCATCATGAACTGAATCCTGGGGAACCAATTCCCATTCCCTAGGCTGTTGCCATTCAGTGCCACAGTGCACTCTTTTCAAGCCTGTCTTTCACCTTTGCAACTTGGAGCTGCAAAGGGAGCTTTGTTGGTTCCTCGGGCATTTTTTCTATTGTCGCATTTCTAAGTACCTGGATTCTTTTTAATGCTAATGTTGTCAGCAATCAAATTCTCCTCTCCATTTTTGCAGGTCCCAACTTTACCAAAGTTCCCTTCTTGCCAAACTCAAAACTTTTGAAATCATTCTGCTGGGCTATTTGCTCCTGATTCACAATATAGAGCTGGCTAAAAGCCCCCCAAAGTACCCAAGCTGACAGGGCTGGGCAAAGGTATTTGCCATTTGGAGGAAGGGAAAGTATAAGGTGGAAAAATCAGCACCTTAAACACAACACCACCAGGCTAGGCCTGTGCCCAAGACCACCCTTGTGTCTGTGAACAGCCTGTGCTCATCCAAGACTGCGACTTCCAACCCTGAGATTTCCCACTCAGCTGGCTGGGCAAGACAGCTGGGAAGGACTCCCCTGAAGGGAACTACCACTGGCATGGATGGCTCAGCGAGAGAGGGACAGGCAGGCTCGCCACCTCCTGCAGGGCCACAAGCCCGTCCAGCAGCCTCTGAGCAGAACTGAGCTGCCAGACACAGGAGGCACAGTGAGATCAGACCCCGAGCACAGGAGGTAACCAGACCCTGGTTCTCTCTCTTCATCCTGAGCTATTTTTAAGAGTGGCCAAGAGAGGCCCAGGCTGTGGGGCTGGGGAGTGAGATTATTTAGCTGTGGCTCTGTAAATAAGTCTGCCCCAGAAAGATGAGCCTGAGCGAGCAGACCAGCAGAACAGCGTTCAAGGCAAGATTGATGGCCCTGGGTGCAGGAGAGCAGCGACTCAACAGCAATTCATTCTGCTTTAAAATGCCATCCTTCCTGCAACTGCAGCTCAGAGGAGGCCGTACCACTGCCGGGACTGTGAAAAAACACATATGTATGTCTAAACACATGAGTCCAGATTGTTTGCTTTTGGGAGGGCCAAATCCTTGAAGGAAAAGAAGGCTCAGAAATGAAAGTGAGCCCATCTTCCGCCTCTGCCCCCTGTGGCCACACCAGCCCATGCCCAGATGGCATTTCATCAGCCAAGCTGGGAGCGTGGGCCACAGGGCTTAGGCAAGGAAGCTCTCGGAGACTCAGAGGTGACAGGCAGAAAGGAAGAAAATAGGAAAGCTACAGACAATTATTCTAGAAAGAAAAACCCCGTACCAGGCCCAAAACCAGTTCAACCCAGGGCTCCCTCAGTGTCACTCACCTCTATTTCTATTACTGTCTCAATGGCTCTTCAAAGGCCCAGCTATAAAGACACCACTGTGACCAAAAAGAATAGCATATGCTGGGAACTCGTAGGGAGAACCTAATCAAATGAGGAGCCACAGACATGACAATCAGGTCAATACCTGAAGGGACTCTGAGATGAGGTGATCTGTCCACCCTTTCTAGGGTATAAGTCATCTGTGCTTCTGGAGTAGTCTCCGTGACTCATGAAAGATCACAGGTAAGTACATGGCTAAAATTAGATTTTACATTCCTGTCAGCAAACTCAGGACAAAATGGCAAACAAAGTAGTTCCTTGTCCATTCATTCCCCAGGTCACCCTCAAGCCCCAAGAAGGCTTCCTCTTGAGCCACCAGACCCCTTGTTTCAAAGGACAGGTGAGCCTCCCCTGCTCCACGTGACTCTGCATCCAGGGCAATCCACTGCCCTGACTGTCTGCCTGCCTGTTTACTAGCTGGGCAGTTCTACCTTCAGAGATGACCTTACAAATGAGCTCCTGCCACCCTCGGTCCCTAGGTTATACTTTAGGTAGAACCGGGCCCTAGCCATTTGCCCATGCACAGCTCAGAACTGAAAAGCTCATCTGCTTGCACAGAGCTCGCTCCCAGAGGAACGCCTACTATGCACAGGGATTTCACAACATCTCTGATGCGACCGACAGCTCCACCTTCCCATGTGTCCTGGGAACCCATCTGCTACTAGATGGAGTGTTAGGCCTCAGAATCTCAGCTTCATGTGCTATGCTCAGCTAATCACTGGGGCAGTAAGGAACTGAGAAAGGGCCAGTGACCACATTGCTCTCCCAGCCAGGCTGAGCTGGGTCTCATGTCAGCCTTCCCACAGCCCTAAGCAGGAGAGATACTCTTCTCTTCCTTCCTCAGCCTCCCGTTAAACTAACAAGCATCCCTCCTCTTCTCTGTACCCCAAGAAAGTGAGAAGCAACAAAGCACGTATCTCTGTCAGGCCTGGGAAACAGGGTCCATCGAATGTGATGCCCCTCTTCCTCAGTGGGACAGAAATTGTAGATTGATGCAACCTCGTGGACAATGACTTTCTTAAATAGAATTTGGAGCCACCCTAGGTTTACTTTCTAATTTATCCTCTGTAAGCTTTGCCTCCTGACTTGCTTGCTACTTTGTCCTGTCCGAAATGCTACCTCTAACCTGCTTTTGGTACTATAGCAACCAGATCAGGAGATTAAATCCTGAGGTTCCCTGGCAACTTTTCTGCCAATGAACCAATCCCCCTCCACTTCCTCTGATCATAATCTTAACGGAAATTCAGACATCTTAAAGAACAATCAAATACACCAATAAATATTTACTGAAACAGAATAAGAACCAATGAGATGCCATCACACAGTACTTTAAATCTATCTGCAACCCTAACCTCCTCTCACTCCAAGCTGTACCTCTGTCCACCTCCCAGACTTCACCTAGAAATTATAGCTCGGTTTCGGTATATCTGACACCAAGCACACAGCTCCTGGGACAGCACAACAGAGAGAGGTTCGGCAACGTGGGGATGGTACAAAGCAA